CCTCTGTGCCTCACACATAGACACCTGGCTGCTTTGTCCACTGTTCCCTGATTCTCCTGGTTTATTATTTATCAACTTAATTTGTCCATCTTGATGTTAATCGGTATGTTTTGTCTACAGTATAACGCGAAATTGCATCATAACTCGAGCATGCTAATTCCAAATGCTCACAGGACTAAAGGCTTCTGTTTGCTTTGCCAGTAATGTTCCGTTAAATATCTCTGGTGGTTTAACTGTCAGCCCCGTAGTTTAAATGGAGATGCATTTCAGTGATAATTTTTGTGGTTGTCAAACTCCCCAGAACCTTACTGACTGATAAGCTGATGATGTTTATGTGCCAAGTCGGTTGATTTAGGAAAATGTAAACAAAACAGACCATCAGCCATTTCTAATGAAAGGAAATTTGTGTGATGGTTTTTTATTAATTTTTTTTTAATGAGAACTGAATTTCAGTCAATAACACATTTTTAAATCTGTTTGGTGTATGAGGAATTTTTAGAGCATCTGTAATGGTGCTTCTCGAGATTGTAAAGTCGTCTGGTTTCGCTGGCATGAGTGACACCCGTATGAGAGCGGCACGTGTCTGGACCCTGTGGGGGGCACGGCGTGGGCTACCTTCCTCTGGCCTCCCCGGTGCCGCTTGGGCCACAGTTAGTGCCGCGGTAATTAACGTAAATGCGGTAATGCCAGATACGTGCCCCTCGCTGTGAGTCAGGGCAGAAGGCCGGCTTTTCAAAAGGTTGTTTGGTGAGTCATGGAGGAGGCAGGCATGCAGGGAGTCAGAAAATGGATCCAGGAGATGACAGGATTGTGTTCTGTGGTACTTTGGGTCCGATATTTTTGTATTTGAGGTATTCTCATAGGTAGATCTTGGACAGGAACAGGCTGCAGATGTTCTGTATGAAACTTCAGTCACTGGTGCAATTAGCAGCACGTCATCATGAAATGTTCTACAGAAAAACTGACTCACCAGAGGTGCTTGAACATTCGCTCATTATGTTGCGCGCCGCACGCATTCACTTAGAATGGTATCGGCATAACCCGATCTATTTGTTTAAGTTGTAGCGAGATTCGCAGGTAAAAGTGTGCAGGTGTTTGTAGATGCCCTGCAGACTTGTGGGGTCCTCACACTACATTGCCTGTTTAAACTGGAATTCCAGGCGAGCAGATCGCAGCTGCCTGTTCCATTTGGGACTTTGGGGTCTCCCGGATCTCCGCCGTGTCTGAATTGGGACTGGGATGGTGCGTCTCCCTCTCTCTCTCCTCGTTCTGGGAGCTGTCCTCGGCAACGAGCGCTGGGGGTAGTGGGAATCCCGGCGTTCCGGGCCCGGAACAAACGCACTACTCTGACGCTTGGCAGCGCGTCTCAGAAACAGAGGCTGCGGTCATTCATTGTGTCGGGCTGATGTCCTTGGGAATGAGGGACAGCAGCTGGGCACTGGGCTCGATGACAGAATGACTGACTGGTGAAGATGTGAGGACACATCTGGACCCCGTCTGTATAACAAACGGGGCCTTACGTTTAAATTGAAGTGTGATTGGTGGGCTTTTCAACATCCCTGATATATAACGGAGAGCAGCTTATGTTACGAATAGATGTAGGAGCATCTCTAAATGACGTGTGACGTGTGTTTCTGAGAGGGGCAGTGTAAACCCCCCCAGTGGACTGGCATCCAGTTCAGGATGAACCTCATGTCCTGGACTTGCAGGGACAGGTGCCTGGTTCACCATGCCTCTGTACTGGGTCCACCATAAGAAAAGAGGTGGAGGGTCTCTCGAAATTATCCAGTCTGCGCGAGTACATGCATGTGGCTGCCTTGTGGGGGACTGGCATCCCATACAGCATTGCCCTGTGCTTACTGGGAATGGGCCGGCTGCAGCTCATTGGATAAGGAGGATGGAGGGATTACTTAATATGGCAGAATGTGAAAACCTCTATTCCCGTGTCAAACCTTCTCTGACAACCAAACATGTCTGTGGATCTCGCTCCCTAGTATATGCTGCCATCTAGTGGGGAAGGGGTGTATTTAAGCATTTTTTCCTCCCTTATAATAAGCATAGGAAGTTATAGGTTTAAGTGTATATTCGTGTGCATAAATTTGTTTTAGCTATTAGTCTGCGTTTATGCATAATGGTAATACTAAGTTGGCAGGTCAACTTTTTGATGCCTTTCCATCTCCCCGCAGGCTGGAGCAGGACATTAAGAGGCTGAAAGCAGATCTGCAGGCGAGCCGGCAGGTGGAGCAGGACCTGCGCAGCCAGATCGGCTCCCTGAGCAGCACGGAGAGGAGCGTGCGCTCGGAGCTCAGCCAGCTGCGGCAGGACAACGAGCTGCTGCAGAACAAGTGAGGGCCGCCAGCGGGGGCGTGAGGTCGCGGGGTCACGGGCCGGCACGCCGGCGCCGCGTCACGCCTTCCGGGTCCCTAACCTTATCGCTACCGCCCCCTGCAGGCTCCACAATGCCGTGCAGGCCAAGCAGAAGGACAAGCAGACCATCAGCCAGCTGGAGAAGCGGCTGAAGGCCGAGCAGGAGGCCCGGCTGGCCGCCGAGAAGCAGCTGGCCGAGGAGAAGAAGCGGAAGAAGCTGGAGGAGGCCACCGCCGCCCGAGCCGTAGCCCTGGCAGCCGCATCCAGGTGCGGAGACTACCCACGATGCACCTGTGCCCTCCCACGCAGGCCACGCGGGGTTAACCCAGCAGGGAGTGCTTCAAGAGTAAAGCAGTGTGGCTCTCCCTGCCAGCCCCTGGAGGATGGGCCCCCCCTTTGAGTCTGGTCCCTCCCAAGGTTTCTTCCTTCTGGGGAGTTTTTCCTTGTCTCTGTCGCCTATGGCTTACTCACTGGGGGCTTTGGGTGGGGATGCTGTAAAGCGCTTTGAGACGATGTAATGTTGTGATAATGTTTGTGTCTGTGATCGGAAGGTCGTCGGTTCAAATCCCTTCATAAGGCTGTTAATCCCCAGTCACTCCAGGGGCAGGCTCACCCTGCTTGCATGTCGCTTTGGATAAAGGCGTATGCAAAATAAATAAAACGTAAAATGTAGAGCAGACTGCATAACTTCCAGGCGTTCTGTAGGGAGAATGTATTGTATAATGGTGAAGGGAGCTTAAAACAGGGGTTTGCCTGATGGTGGCGCTGTTGGGTCAGGATTGCTTGCCGCCTCTTAGCAGTAGCAAAGCCACCTAAACCTCGTGGTGGTTATTATTGAAGTTTACGGTCTGCTCCCCCCCCCCCCCCCCCCGGCAGGGGCGAGTGCTCAGACGCCTTCCGGAGTCGGATCCGCGAGCTGGAGAGCGAGTGCAAGAAGCTAAGCATGGACATGAAGCTGAAGGAGGAACAGATCCGCGAGCTGGAAATGAGAGCGCAGGTGAGCCTCGCGCCCCAGCGCCTCCCATGGGGGGGGGCGCATGCGAACGTACGCTGCCGCTAACGGCTAACGGCCTTGCTATCCTTAGTGTGTGTGACATTGTGTGTACTGCAATTACCGGACCGGAACATTGTTTTGCATGGTTCTTATTTTGCTTTATGTATTTGTTTGTATCCTTTAAATATAACCTTTATTGTATCTCCTCTCTGTGCTACTGGACACAGAAACCCTCCCCACAGGGATCGGTGTAGTTCTCCTTCTCTGATGGATGTTGTTTCTACGGCGCAGTATTTATCAGGGCGTCCCAGGCCCAGGTTCCATATCCGTATGCTGCACACAGCAGTGTTTCAGCCAGGCTCTTCACTGGGTCTTCAGTGACATCTTCACCCCGTTCACTAGCCCGTCATCAGTCATCGTGGGAAATCCCTGCTGACCTGACATTCCGTGTCTCTTCCACCCCCCCCCCCCCCCACACGTCTTCTAGGAGCTGCGGAAGTACAAGGAGAACGAGAAGGACACGGAGGTGCTGATGTCCGCGCTCTCGGCGATGCAGGACAAGACACAGCACCTGGAAAACAGCCTGAGCGCGGAGACCCGCATCAAGCTGGACCTGTTCTCTGCACTGGGGGACGCCAAGAGGCAGCTGGAGATCGCTCAAGGTCGGGGGGGGGGCAAAGTACAATGGGTTATCTACAGGACGATGTCTGTATAGAGTTACTGTGATGCTTAAATTAAGGAAGGAAGAAAAACTTTTTGTGGGGGAGGTGTGTGGCTCAGCGGGTTAGGCGGCCGCGACTGTAATCAGAAGGTCACTGGTTCAAATCCCAGAATCAGCAGAGTGATGTCACTGATTGGCCCTTGAGCAAAGCCCTTAACTCCCAGGTTTTCAAATGGATAAAAGTGTTTACTAGATAAGTAAAATGTAAATATGTTGAAGTACAGGCACTGTCTTTAGTGTCAAGCAAGTGTGATGCATTTCTGGGTTTGTCTGTATCACTGATTCTGGTGGCTGGAGCCCACTTAGATGGAGGCAGAGTGGGGGCAGGGAACTTAGATTCACTTGGGTCCTGTTGGTAACACTGGATGGGATTTTCCCACCATTTACATATTAAAATATATAGATGAATAAAACGCTCTGTATGGGCCCCGTGTGTCTTATGGGTGGATAGTATAACCTTTCTTTTTTCCATGTGACAGTCACAGATCCATGTTTCAGGAGGTGAAGGAGCACTTGATCCTAAACCTTGCCTCCCCGTCTTTCCCACTGCAGGTCAGATCCTCCAGAAGGACCAGGAGATCAAGGAACTGAAACAGAAGATAGCGGAGGTGATGGCCGTCATGCCAAGCATCACCTACACGGCAGATGCCAACAACATGAGCGCCGTGGCCCCACACTACTCCTCCAAGTTCATGGACACCGGTCCCTCGGGCCTGGACCCCAACGCGTCCGTCTACCAGCCCCTCAAGAAGTGAATGCTCACCTTGCAGCCCCTGTCCCCCTCGGCCCACCCACCCCTCTGATGCTGAAGATGGACGTGTGTGGAAGTTTTTTTTTTTTTTTTGACTTTTGATCT